TTATTAGAGTTAATGCGAACTTTTATTTTTCATTAAAGTCTAACATAGTACTATTGATGCCAATAGTAGTATTTGATACATCCATTAGTTATCTGGTAGGAGCTAGGATCATTCTAAATTAGATTCATAGTCTACCCTAAAAGCAAAGGAATTTTTTATGGCAATAAGTAGTGAAATTCAATTCCATAGTAAAACCTTCTAGCCGCTACTACCTTACCAGAAATAAAATTTTTATTGACCTCGCTGTTAAATTTACTTAGCCGATGGTATGTGTTTTTCTACTATCTTCTAGATACTTAAAAATTTAGCGATAAAGTTTAGGTTCCAGCACTTCTACTTTGCGCATAAAAAGCGCTTTGCAAAAGGCTTAACGTGCGGCTCTTAGACATGATGAAACAGAGGTCTGGAATTAGAGGATTATCGGTAAATAGCTAGTGATGAATTGATCATGAAAAAATAGTTTTCACGGTTTCTATATGAACTGACTAAAAGGGTTGGAAGGAAACATCAACGGGAAATAAATCAAAATAGTAAGCACACCAATCACCCTAGGTTGTATATGATGATGAACAACTGATACATCAATTTTCAAAAAAAAGATAAAGAGGGCATATGAAAGATTTGAGATACGGGAATGTGTATGAGGTGGGCAATCCCATTAGTCTGCAATAGTACAATTTAATCATGTGAGGATAATATAAATGTCTACATGCTTTGCTTACCTACGGATGCAAGGTTCCAAACTATGATATCCCTATACTACTGTAAGCAGGGATAATTGTCTGAGATCTATTAATAGTCAAGTCATGGCTTCTGAGTGTCAATGTAATTAAGGACAGGCCAAAGGTTACTTCTGTACTTTCCTATCTGTGTCGCCTGTGGGGAGCGACAAGTAAAAAATGATCGCAGCCTAAATGATACAAGAGATGATCTGCTATGAGAATGCTCAAGAGTCCGGCACGGACGAACTAGTGAATGGCATGAAAGAAACCACCCTAAATAAAAACCCAGCCATATAATTGCTTTGTCCAAGTCGTAATGAAATTATAATATCATCCCAGCCTATTCCTGAAAATGCAATATTCTGCCATTTCTAATGAATTGTTTGTTCAGATTGACAGCTTCATATGCATCTTTAGGCAGCTGCGAGTAGATGGAATATAAACTTTTCCAGAATTGCTTACTTTCTATATCGCAAGAGAACGTTGTTATACGTCTTTAAAATAAACAGGTTGTAGTATTAACGGGAGATCCAGTGAACTCAGAGTATATAGCAAGGCTGATGTGGAGGCCAATGACTTCCTCCAAAAGGCCAACATGTCAAATACGTCGATGTAATGTCACTGCCAGGTCACCGAAAGAGATAATGACAAATGCTGCATTCATGCCTCTCATTCCTTGGAAAGAGAAATACAGACGAACTTGTATTGACGAGAAGGCCAGGCAAAATAAGGGAATGAAAGCGGCATTAATATCGGAACATAGCATTGCACACTGAAAGTTCTGCGTCAGAACCGTGTAAACTCGGAGCTTTTAGGGTTGGTTTGCATTCAACTTGCAGCAGTGGTTGTATTACCGGTTAATTTAGCTTAATGGGAGGGAGTCGGATTATCAATGCTTGCTACAAAAATCCCGTAGGGAAATAATAGATAAAAGTGTAGTTAATACTTTCAGAATAGGTATAATAAAAACTTGCAGAGCAAAATAATTATGGGTTTGAAAGGTCGGCTGATAAAAGAATTATTATGTTCTACGAGAATGTGGGAAGCACAGAGTGGACGAAGGTGTAGGATACAGCGTACTGTCTTAAAGCATGAAAAGATGATTTTGAAGGAAGCGAATTTGAGGGATTGTGCATGCTTCCATTTTGTCTGAACACCATGCAACCACTGCTAAGGAGCTACGACACTGGATTTATGTATGCATTAGGAATATGCATTTATTATGAAGCACCAAAGCATCGGCTCGAGATAAAAATGCATAGCCACTTTTAGGGTATTAAAACTAGTTTTCCTATAAAATGTATGCACTCTCAAGGAGTCTTTAAATTTGATACCCAAAGATAATAATAAAGGGGTTCACCTGGTAAGAAAATAAGAATGCAAATAATATGTATTAAACGGTCAGATAATTTCCTAAACAAGTCCTCCTGGGATAATTTAATAGCTCTGATTAAGCCTGAATTTTACTTATTTTATCCTTATACATATACATATATATAATAATAATAATAATAATCATCATCATCAAATATGTATATGTATACATGAAAATATTACAAATATATATATCAACAACGATATAGGGGTATATTCATCTTATTTTTCACCTGAACCCTGACTTGAAGGTTAAATGATCTGAATACTGTAAAGACCATAATATAAGAGAATGGCGTTAGGATAATGAAGGCAGAAGACCCATATAGTTTCGAGTCCTTTATCACCTTAAACGAAATATAGTGAAAATATTTCCTGTATATGATTTTGTAATTATCTATCCCCACACTTTTCCCATTCAATATTTAGTTTGTGTAACCCATACGTAACCCCATACGTAGCCATGGCTCAACATCTTTTGGCGCAGAAATCCCGTGAGTGCGTGACTAATTTTGGCTCTTTATTTCGAGTCGGCCAATCAAATTTGGCACCGCATCGTCCAATCAGAAGTTGAAATGGAAGACTACGCAAGGGTATATCCCTTTAACGAGTTTTAATATGGTGGTACGAATGGCGAGACTCACTGACGATGCCTACTACGATGCCGGCGAAAT